AGTATCCTGCTCACCGCAGGCATGTCACGAGGTGCAGCAGCCCCATTAACACTGTTCACACTGTCACATTTTCAGTCTATCCACTAAAACTGCTGAAGCCAGGAACTCGGGAAGAATGCTGAACGGCGAAAGATTGGTCGAGGCCGACGTCGATACCCTTGAAGCCCACCTGAAAACAATAACGTCCGAATCAGATAAAGGCGAAAGGATGTTCCAGCTTGGCCATCACAAGCTTAGATTTTGTTGTTCAAGCAAGGAATGGAACACCAAGCACAGTCAAAGTCATGTCTACTAACCGACATGGCTAAGCATACTCGTATGTTTGGAACCAGTATATTGATTCAGTGTGGGAACTACCTGTTTTACTGTGGTGTCTTAGGGCATAATAAATGAAGCTGTGTAGGAGACATGAGCCAAAGCAAGTGCGATTGCTAATTATCGTATAATTTACAGCGTAACCATCATATCATCACATCGCAATAGCAATAAATAATCAATAAATGATCGTTACACCAAGCAAATAGGTAATAGCGGCAAAAATTGCCTGATTTGGAATAAAAAATGTTTTATTTGCAGTTTAATTTGTCCGTGTTTTAACCCGCGCGGGGCTGGGGGGGGGGTAAATTTTACCCCCCCCCCCTCACGAATTTTTGCGATATCTCATAAACGGCGGCGCGCAGCGCCGCCAAACTTTCAGTACCTTTTCTTACATCAATTTGACACCTTCCCTGAAAATTTGAGCGAAATCCGTCGGAAAATTTTTGAGAAATTGACGTTTCAGTGACGTCATGTTCGCCATTTTCGCCTCAAAAACGGGAAAAGTTCAAACGCCGCTAACATCTTCATTTTTAAAGGAATCAAGACGTAACAAAAAAGGTTATACGTAATTTTACTTTGTCTATCAAATGGCTATCTCGGTTTTTTGAAAATTTTGGATTTTGGCCTAAAAATTTTCAAAAAACTGATTTTTTTGGAAAAATCATTATAAAATCCAAAATTTTGAGTCTATCGAAAAAAACGGAATATATGTCAGAGTAGTGGTCTATGTGCACCTACATACCAAATTTTAGAAGAATCGGTTCAAAAATGTGGGAGTTATTCAAAATTTTATGACGTCACGACACACAAATTTTTTGAAAAATGACTTTTTTTGGAAGTTCTAGACCTCGTACGGAAACAAAAATAGCACCATTCGATTTGCCGTGAAAAACTGCATCAGATAGACACCTTTTTAGGCCTTAACAACCAACTTCAAAATTTGACCTCACTTGACCTGACCTTGACCTGACCTCGACCTGAAATTCATCCAGAGGTGGTCCATATCACTTATTGAGTGTGCCTATTGAATTCTATGAGTAAAATGACCCATAAAACATGTGTCGCACATGCCCTTTTCTATATTTTGTTTTTTGGTGACCTGACCTGACCTGACCTGACCTGACCTTGACCTTGACCTCTGAATGATATTGTATGCAACGAATATTGTCTTGGTAGCCTAAGAACACGTTTTGGGCGATCAGTCTCAGTCCATGACTTCATTCTTCGGCAACTACGGTGCAAGGCCGATACTGTAGAAACTTGCAATTTGTACCCTTGACCTGACCTTGACCTTGGCCTCAAACTTTAAATTAAGTACATGTTTTTAGTAGTTCGTGATGAGAGCTTTCGATTGGCGTTTGAATTTTCCAAATCGGACCATTAGTTCGGGAGATAACAGGGGGGGTAAAAGTTACCCCCCCCCCCCCAGCCCCGCGCGTTCGGCTGGAGACCCCAGCCCCGCGCGGGTTAATTTGCCCGTCCAGTTACTCTGCACTAAATCATGTTTTGTCTCTATATTTCAACTTTACCCACAATGCAATCACATTCCGGTCACATGGCTAAATGAGCAACGTTTCTCTTTTTTCGCCGGAAGGATGCCGGTGTATCGGTATTGGTGAAAATATTTTTTCAACGTACCTGGTTGGATGCGGCCAGAGCCTGACCACCGGTCAGTGAGAGGTCTCCCTGGTTGCCGAAATTCAGGCCGGATACCTGGCTCTGAGCTCCTCCCTGCAAACAGACAAAAAAGGGGATGACGTCACTGACATGAAGACACAGAGAGCGGTAACGGTCACGCTAGACGCCCGTCACGGAATCGCTTAGGACGTCGCATGAAGTTATATAAATGGTACACAGACGGTGTTAACACCTGTATAAAGCGCCGTCGAGACTGAGCATCGCTTGTCGCCGAATTCCAACCGAGCTTACCCATAAAATACTGACACTGAGGATAGGATAGGGCTAGACATTTAATTTTGATTCTCCTGATAGCAGCAAGCGCAAACGTGCTTAGTATTGAGGACAGACCCTTACGGTTATCATCGGACAGACCCTTACGGTTGTCACCGATACAAGCTGCATTTGGTGTTAACTTCACAATCGAATCCCGGCAATGCTAAGGCCAAAGCTATTTGCAATACAATTTTACTGATAACATAAAGAGTAGGTATTATACACTGGGGCCATGCCGCAAGCACTGTTTAGGATGAAGCATTTTTGCGTGCTATAGCCTAAGTATGTCATTTGACCCGGCTAGATAACTTACCCTTCTGAACTGAGGTCTCGCCATGGCCATGGCCACGATCATCATTAGCACCAGGGCGGTCTTCATTGTTACTCTCGGGGCTGTGGGCAGAGAGATAAGAGTCTATGTGATTGAGGTCTACTATGTAATCTGATACAATCCGAATAAGTTTCCGTATACATCAACGAGTAGATGAAAATATTATACATGTTCGCTGTAAACGTTTATCATGTTTTAAATTTATATTTACATTCTGAATATATATTACAATTTATTAAATTTAATAAATTTGTAGAATATTATATTAACTTTTTGTTATAGGTAATACAAGTTCATGTTCTTCTAAACGGTTTCTCCCACTAAATCAATGAAATTTTATGCAAGGTTGTATGGTTTCATGCAACTTCAAAAAGCGGGCAATTATGTTCGTCAGGTAGGTACAAGGACCTCGAGCCTGATGCTTCCGCAATTATTATGCATCTATCTGACTGAGGTTAGGGCAGTAAATGTTCATCCTTAGCGAAATGCATTCTTGTTACCTTCCACTGAGACCCCCACTTTGCATGCAGATGACCTGATCCTGACCTGACTCATTACCTCTAAATGCAAACACAAGAGCGTATCTGAGCTATCTCTTCGTACGCTTTTCATTGCCGTGTCCGTATCACTCGTTGCGCTGCGATAATTTGTTCACAGCTTATGGACTGGGAGGCTGCCCTCCCCAGTACAAAGACGACGTGGCGAAGTAAAGGCTCATCCGAAACAACCTTGTTTACTTCTATCAAGTTCCAATAGATACTTGTGTAGCCTTACAAGTCTGGTTTTGAAACCGTTTACTATTGACTAATCACATAAATGCCTCAAAAGGTCGGATTCAGCCACCTTTGCAAACTACGCTCCGGGTCACGAAATGTCTAACTAAACTTTTGTGCGCGGTATACTCACGAGTTGTTGAGCTGTAGAGCAGGTGACGACTGTAGTCGGGAGCAGTCTCTTTCTGATCGGTACGGCGCGGGGGCCTCCTTATAACAGCCCTCGGACGGGTGGCGGCGGGGAAAACCAGCCTGCACTGCGGGCTGGCGCCGCTTCCAGGAGCGACGGCCTGCCGCTGGTGAGGTGGTCGGTATAGGAGCGGGATAGGTAGCGAGAGAGGGAGAGGGAGAGGGAGAGAGAGAGAGAGAGAGAGAGAGAGAGAGAGAGAGAGAGAGAGAGAGAGAGAGAGAGAGAGAGAGGGAGAGGGAGAGAGAGAAGCTGAGACCAGATAGTAGATTCTATAGAGAAAGGAGCGAAGGGATGACCACGATATTTTGTCCTTCGCTCACCTTTTCTCATTTTTCAAGAACGCCTTTTTCTTCGGCTTTTTTCACCACCTTCCTCATCTACCTGCTAGGTGTTTTGACCACCTAACGTCGTAACATCTGAATGCCTACCTATCAGGACAAAACAAATCCATGCCCAATGGCGTTAGCCGTCAGTCACGGTTATCCCGAGTGAACCACAAGATCGTTTACATTTACCGCGCTAGGTATACAGTAACGACAGGGCTGCGGAGCCCACCGAGTCGGTCATAGTTGACAGTTCTGATAGGAGTCGGAGTCGGAGTCGGATTCGGTTTTGGAAACCAGATCCGGAGTCGGAATTGGACTGTCGGAGTCACCAAAAATCCATCGACTCGACTCGACTCCGCAAACCTGGCAGGGCTGAGGAGTCGGAGTCGGAGTTGGAGTCGGTCGGAGTCGACAATTCTGCTCGGAGTCGGAGTAGAAATCGGAGTTGGTTTTAGTTAAAGTCGCAGTCGGAGTAGGAGCCAAAGCCACCAAAAATCCATTGACTCTGCCAGCCCTGAGTCGATGCAATGCATATTACATATGACCGGGAGACAGCGCACTGCTTGTGATGATCGTAGATCACATCGATAGTAGCGAACTTTACTCCTGTATTATTGTTCGTATTATTGAAATATTTATTGTGACCCATTCATCGGTCTACGGCGCAGAACCATGTGGCCCTCACATGGCCCTGGCCCCTGAAGGCATCAGTGGCGTCCTCTGTTTCAGCTAGAGCCTCTCAAACCGGTAGTGTCACCTGTCACAAAATTTTACGCAATCCAACGAAAATGCTCCCACAAATGCGGTGTTTCTAGTTCCTACATAACCAGTCAGTCGCTGATGTATTTGTAGAGCGTTCAGTGTATATTTTAGACTACATCTGTCGACAACGTAGCTCGCCGGCTTCCTGCTGAGGGTCTCAGGTGGCTCAACGGACCCCCGCTGACCCTCCATCTGTCGTAGCTCCCCCACACGGTGCACCAGACGAACTCCTTGAACTATGCAGTGTTGTCTGCCTGTTATAGATGACAGATGTTAGCTGCATCCATCACGTGCAGTTGATCGAAATAATCAGCTTATTTGGTGTTGATCAAGCAAAGGTCAATGTCCGACCGACGATATTGTTGTAAAAATGTTACAAAGTTGAGTGACACATTGCAGTTGAGTTTAGCCAGTGTAGGTTGGGTGAGGGGTTAGGGGCTGCGTTGGGAGTGTGTGCTGTCGCTGTGCAGTAGAGGTGTGCACTGCATCCCCTACTGTGCCACCAGTCGGTACATCACCTGTGTTCTCCGGTCGGCCCCTGTGGCGGTTCGACCCCCAGTGGGCGCTCAGGGTCCGCCCCACACCGCGGACGCGGACCCTCGTCCTCAGTGCTACTGAAGAGACCCACCGGGACGGAAGCTCATCTAACTCACACTCACCAAACTCAGACTGTGTGTAGTCTGAGAGGACACCCATCTCGCCATGCTCCCTGTGGTGGTGTCAGTGGTACTAGTGAGCGTCGCACTGCTGCTACTATGGCCCCGTCGGCCCTCCGGTGGGCCCCCAGGGCCTACTCCAGTCCCCATAATCGGAACTCTGGCCTTTGTCGGAGCCAAAACCCGCGACGATCTATTCGACGTCCTGTGCTCACTGCCAGCGCGATTTGGAAGCATGGTGGGCTTCTACGCCGGCGGGACATACAACGTCTACATGACAGGACTGGAGACTACGAGAGCGGCAATGTCCCAGCACGCAGCGAACGGGCGGTTTGCTGGCTCGGCTCAGCTGGAGTTATCCTACGGCAAGAGACGGGGTGTGATCGTGGCTGAAGGTGAGCGATGGGCTCGACACTCACCCCTAATGCGAGCCGCACTGGGAGAAATGTTACGCTCTGGTGAAATGGAGCTCCTGATCCGTACAGAAGTCAACGAGCTTGTCACTGAGCTCGCCGATGCACGCGAGCCCGTGCCAGTGAAGAGTCTGTTCAGATGGCGCTACTTTAACCTCTCGTGGACTATCGTTACTGGTCAGAGACTACCAGCGGCCGAGGCACAGCGGCTCGCTCATCTGTTCACTCTCGAGATGAGCGCACTTCAGAACACCTGGGTGAACAACTCGGTCCTGCGCACAATTTTCCCGGAAAGGAGCGGGTTCGCTGACGTGTTGCGCTACAGAGACGCCGTACGCGCGGCGTTTGCTGCGGCCGTGCGAGGCGGAGGTGGAACATTTGTCGCCAAAGTACGTGCTGCTCAACCGGACCCGGCCGCCTGGCGACCGGAGGTGGACGAGGACCTCGTTATGTTTTTCTTTGACTTCATGAACGGTGGCTGCGAGACAACCAGTTCGTTCTTTGAGTGGTCTATGGCGTACCTGCTGAGGGAGCCAGAACTGCAGCGGAGGCTGCGTAAGGAGGTTGCCGCGCTCCCCTCCCAGCCCACACTGGCTCACCGGGCTAACGCACCGCTGCTGCGAGCCTTTGAGACTGAAGTGTTTCGTCGCTCCTCCCTAACACCAGCCGGAGTGCCGCACCGATCACTGCAAAACTTCAAGGTGGGCGGATACAACGTCCCAGCCGGAACCACCCTACGCTACGACATTATGGGAGCTCACTGGGATCCAGCCCGGTGGTCCGACCCTCTCCGCTTCCGACCAGAGCGCTTCCTACGTAACGGAAAGTTCGTGGGCAGCGAGGATGTCGTCCCGTACGGGATCGGTCTGCGCCGCTGTACCGGCGAAAAGTACGCCGAGGCGTACCACTTCATGCTGCTCGCCAGTCTTCTGCGAGAGGTGGCTGTGGAGCCGGCCCCCGGTGCGGCACTGCCCACAGAAGCAGCCTCCATCGGTCTGGTGCGGCTCTGCCTGCCGTTTGACGTGGTCTGCCGCCGTGCTCAGCCGCCCCAATGAACGGGCTGAGAGGCAGACTGACGACAGAGAAGACAGGGTACACGGTGCTGGGCATATAATCACTGGGGTTTGGTGACAATTCGTTTATAGTGGAGGTCGGGGTCTGCTAGACACCCTGTTCCTGGGGCTAGTCTATATTTTCAACCAGTGTTATCCTGGACTTTTTTGCATTCTTATGTCTTACATAATACATGATATTATGAAAGTTTAATCTCTACTTCATTTCGCATCGATAAAGGATATGACGAGAATAACTACCAAAACAAGATGAAACAAAAAACACACCAGGCTTAGTGCTATGGACATGTATTGTTTCACTGAATGAGCACTATGATGGAGCATTCGATGAATGTAATTAACACAACAGACAACACAACTTGAAGGGCTGCTTCACTGGCTACATTTGTGGCATATTGAAAAAGTACTTTTAAAGGGTGCCAGCGCAAATGCGTCGGTCCCTTCTTTAATCATCATCGCTTTTATCCAATTCAGCCATCAAGATAATATGACTGCGGTAGTTCTTATCCCACAGACAACCCCTATGAGACCTTGACCTTGACCTTGTTGGCCATCTTCTTCTGCTGGCTCTGGACCTTCTCCATGACCTCGTGGTCGTAGGTGGAGTGCAGCATGAGAGCCAGCACGCCGGCACGGTTAGCCATACTCTGGCGACACTGACGCTCCTGCTCTAGCAACTCATCCATCTTCATGGCCCAGCGCACCTGTGGGGGACGGGGGGGAGAGATCAGTTATATAGTACGGAGGGGACGAAAGGGAGGTACAGCCCTCTGCAGACTGCGTGGTAGGTATTCTTTTTCCGACAAAACTGATAATAATTCAAAAGTCATGTTATCAGTCGGTCGAAACTCACTGCAAATAGATGCGCCATGCTCCACTCCTTCGATAGGGTCTATCAATAAACAAAGCATACGCCTTGTGTGGCAACAAAATGTAAGAGTTTGTTTTGGGGGCAAATATAAACTTTTGGGTTTTGTTGCCAAACTGGATGGAAAATGCATACGATGATAATGCCAATCTAAGCCGCGGAGTCTCGCGCATCTTGCTGTTACGATTTCCGAGTGCCCGATAGCATAGTATTCGCGTTATTCTCGGTTTTGTTGAAAAAAGAATACCTACCACGCAGTCTGCAGAGGGCTGTACAGCGTGTAATCGGTCAGCAAGGAGCAGTACAGGGTACGAGGGGTGGGGTAAGGGCGGTACGGGACACACATAGTGATGCAAGGGACGGAACGGGATAAGGCTACGCACTGGCGCCGATGTAAGAGAGGCGTGACATGGCAGGAAATACTGCATGCATGTTGCAAGAGATCAACAAACGAACGAGAGAATCGAGACGTACCAATTGAAATGCGTTTATGAGCGTCTCGGACGGTTAGCGATTATCGTATCACAACCAGATAAAGTAAAACAAAACATACAATAAAAATGGCTTGTCGATCTTTCCCTGGCAACGTGCTTAGCTTAGGGACTACACGCAAGACTTTACCATCAATAACGTTATTGAGCCGACACTCATCAAGCCACCTTACCCTCTCCATGTCGAGCTCTGCCCGACGTAGTTTCTCCCAACTGAAATGTTTCAGACATTTCTTCTTGGGCGCTCGGCAGAACTGGCCCATGTTTGTGAATACGTCCGCCACCAGAGGGCAGCCGCACACCTCATCGTCTGCCACCTGGCGGCGAAAGGGTGAAACACACGTCAGCCAAGGAAACTATCGATTCGAAACTATCGGACAAGGGGAGTTTTGACCTCGGATCAACTTTGTAACCTAACGTAAAGGGTCATTATTATACACCTGTACAGTACACACGGCAATCGATATGTATGGTCCAGATGAACACATTCAAGATAGGCGTTTTCGCCACTCGAACACATCTTCTCTACCAAAGTAACCAATGAAAAACAAAGTAAATCTGTCAGTGACCTCATGAGGTCATGACCCATGTGATCTGTGTCATCTATCCGTGCTTCTATCCTCAGGATACTGAAATCCTTCTCCTCCAAGCCGCAACCCCCCTCCGGGCTGGACAGGCAACTTTATCTCATGCGGGCTGCTCCCTTGGAGCGGCACCGCTGCTCCTGAGGGAGCGCACCCCGTAGCCGGGTGCAGTGAGTGCCTTGGGGCTGGGTGGCCTGTCCTCTGGACGGGCTCAGCCCCAGCGACTCACTAGGGTGCCTGCCCAGACCAATGTCTCCCCCTAATTCCTATCATCCTTCCGGCTCTGCAATGGTCTTGTCGACCGAAAGGGCCTAACCCAAAAAAAAAAAAAAAAACAAGATCTGTGTGATGCGACTCATGTGTGATGCGAAACAGGGCTGCGGATTCGACAGATTTTCGATGACTCCGACTCCGACTTCGGCTTTCAAAAACCAACTTCGACTACGACTCTGACTCCGGACAGAACTGTCGACTCCGACCGACTCCAACACCGACTCCGAAGACCTAGCAAGGCTGCGGAGTCCATGGATTTTCGGTGACTCCAACTCCGGCTCCGGTTTCTAAAATCGACTCCGACTCAGACTCCGGTCAGAACTGTCCACTCCGACCGAATGCGACTCCGACTCCGCAGCCCTGATGCGAAATGCACCTACGCATCATTTGTGAAGGTCCAGCATGATTTTCGCAGGAAAGAGACGTGTTTGTTCCCTTCCAATGACTTATAGGTAATAGATATACCGCAAAAATGTTTTTGACCCTCAGTCACCAAAACTACGAAATATATTTTCAACCGGTCAAACAATCGTTCAGTCGCTGGTAGCTAGGATACGCAATGAACGTATCCTATCGTTGGGATCAATCCACTTCACGGTAAAGTGGTGACCTGACCTTCAGGCATTTCGTTTTTCGACACGATTCCCCGCAGTCTATTAGAAAGCTCAAATAACTAGAAAAACAGGCATTGGAGTAAGAGACTATCTGTATGGTTTCCTGGACACGATTGGGTACTTAGCAATCGTGTTACGATTCACAACCTACACGAAACGGATGACTCATTCCTCTGTCCGAGAAATTCAGTTTACCACGAAATACGACTGGTCAAGAATTTCATAACAATAGCACGTCATCATTTTGACGCAAAGTCTATCAACAGTTCCTCGCATTAATACAGCACGCTATTGCAAAACCATAAGTCCGTCACAAACGCTACTGGAATTTCCTCAAATGAAAATCCCGTCCCGACGGAGCAGTGGCTTCAACTACCGATTTTCAGCAGAATATAGTTACCGACCGAGACGGCAGCCTATCAAAGACAAAGACTGGGCAAACCCAGAAACAATACTCGTCAGCGAGTTCAGCGTTCCTTCGCCTTGCCAGAACGTCAATTATGTAAATACCAATACACGTTGTTCTATACAAGCACGGTACAAAGCCCTGATACAACCAACCAGCAATTCAGGCCGAGATTAGAAACAACGAGATGAAAGGCGCATTTTTTGTTTGATGTGGGTTTCCCGGCTATGTTCAATAATCCCTAGGATTAAGTTTCAGTTCTTGGAGCGGAATGCCGAGCAAATGTTCGGGCCGAAAATAGCCAATAACAGGATTCTTCGAACAACAATAACATAGCGACGGCCTGACTGGCAAAAGGAAAGAAAACGATTTATGCCTCTCATTCTCGGACCGCCGCTTTCTGGCAGTACGTGTGGTGCATATGGCAAGTTTGTAAATTTGACATAATAACTACCTCTGTGCTCCATGAAACGGCTCATTGCGATGCTCTTGGGTTAACAGAGTGGCTTACATAAACCTGGCAGGTTCTAATAGGACATGCAATATGTAATATATGTTCTGTCGGGCAAGGAGTACTCGTACACGATGAACTTGTCAAAGCTTGTGGGAAAAAAAAAAAACAGAACTAACCGCTACATCCGCAGCCAGTCTGCAATGCAATGCAAAACACCTTATGCAGCAATGCAAAACACCTTATGCAGCAATGCAAAACACCTAAGGGGGAGTTAAGAACTGTACGGAACTAGAAAACCAGACCCGACTTTGACCCGACCTACCTTGGGATTTTTGCTGTGCTCAGGACAGAGCACACGCAGCCTCTTGCAGTAGGTCCTCTGCGCCGGGTTGTAGAAGTCACAGAACATGTTGAACCCCTCAACTCGGGTCTGATAAAGCGACCCGAACGACGTCTGGCTCTCGTACTTGCCGAAGCACTTCTCCATGTGCCTGATGGCGTTTCTGGTGGCCACCTCGTGTCCACAGGTCACACAGTGGATACTGTGCGGTTCCTCCTCTGTATCATCCTCCAGCGCGGTGGGGTCGATGGTGCCGCGCCGGCCCCGCTCACACTGTCGATCCAGCTCGTGATGGGCGCGATTCAGACGCTCCAGCTGAGTCTGAGCGTCCAGCTGCTCGCGCCGGATACGCTCCAGGGTACGCATGTTGCGGTCCTCGGCCACGCACCGAGTCATGTTCCATTCCTGGATGCGCTGAGGAAGCACCTGGAAGATCCGGTTCCGGGCAAGGTTGAGTCCACATTGGTCGGAGCAGTAGCGACTGCCTGGCCGGCTCGGTTTTACACACTGAGGGCCGTAGCACTGTCGAGAGGAGCTCTCGAGTAGGTCAGTCTCGTCGTCTGAGAGTTCGGCCCTCTTGCGTCGGCGACCGACCGCCGGGGCGCGACGGGTCTCCACAGATTTGCGTCGCGGCGGAGCAGGGGGCGGTGGCGGCGGTGGGGTGGGCTCCCGAGGCGGCGGTGACGTCCGGTTGGACTCGCGCAGGGGCGACGGTTGTGGCGCCGGCTGCGGCGGACCCTGACAGAGGCGCCGCTTGCAGGGCCGGTGCGGCGCGTTGCGGCAGGTCGAGCAGTGACCACAGTCTGACTCCCTCAGGCAGCCGGTACAGAGGCCGCAGCCGCGCGGAGGACGTGGGCGAGGCTGGGCCGCAGCTGCCGCCGCCGCCGCCTCCCGCTCCCGCTCAGCTTCTCGCTCCTTCTCCGCCTTCTCAACTCGTGCGCGCTCCTTCTCCTTCTCAGCCCGTGCTCGCTCCTTCTCTGCCCGAGCTTTCTCTTTCTCAGCTCGAGCCGCCTTCTTCGCTTCCTTTTCCCGTCGATGGTCATGCTCATCTTTCAATTTCTTTTCCTGCTTTTCGTGCCTCTCCGCTTTCTCGCTCTTCCTCTCCGCCTTATCAGATCGTTCGTGTTTATCGCTCTTCTCTAACCTTTCGCTTCTCTCCTTATTCTTATCCTCGCCATGCCGCCGGTTCTTGTGACTCTCTTTGTACTTGATCTTCAGATCGGGGTTCTTTCGACGACAGATGTCGCAGTAGAAGCGTTTGATGTGTCTGGCATCTCGTTCGGTGACGTTGATACAGTCGCCGTGGTACCACTCCTCACACTTGTCGCAGGCGATCATGAACCGACTGCTGTCGGAGGAGCGGCATATGCAATATACTTCGTCGTCCTCTCCCTCGCCGCTGGCTGAGACGTCAGAGTCCGACATGGCGGCTGGCTGGTGCTACACGACAGTTAGTGACAGGTCACCTGTAAGCAAGGCACACAGTCAGAACTCAGAACAATGGCAAGGGGGGAGAAAAGACTGAGAGATGGAGCAAAAGCGGCCTTTGTCAGAATGTTACACTTCTAATCTGTGGTTTTGAACTGAGGGACATACTTGGGAGTTTGGTAGTTAAATCTCAATGATTACCCTTCAGGAGTTTTTACAACCCAATAATAATCAGCCAAGTTCCTAGCCTAATAAATCTTACTGTATTTACAAATAGTTACAACTTACAAGCCTTCCATACAGAAAGTGCCTCAAGACAACAAGTATGCTTTGTATTCCATGATGTTTTTCGAGTTTCAAGGATGTAGCCAGCCTGACGGTACCTGATCCCTGAATAAAACAATCAACAGACATTGGCTAACAAGCTTTGAATCTGATTGGCAGATGCCTGATCATTATCTGCAGAAAGTAGTGCAATATTATTACTATGAAATAAGACAAAAACAAACTCTGCTAATGCAACCATACAGCCCCAGCTGGCAAATTGAAATATTGTTAAATGCTAATAATAGGGCCCGCAGCGCAGCAGCAGCCAGGCTGCTTGGTAGTCATAAAGCAGGCGTCACACATCATATTGCGATGACACTAGTGCCAGTCTCAAGGCCACAGCCCGTCACACTACCTCCAGGCTCCAGCCATATACACAGAAGTGTGACCGGTGACGCCTGCTTTACAATTACCGGCTCCTTTATGTCCCAAGAACCAAGCCAAGAACCCAACAAACAAAAATATAATATAAAAATTTGCTGAGCTTTATTGTTAAAAACCGGCTGGTAGTTTAATTTGTGTTGTCTGAATTCTGAAAACGGCGATACTTCAGTTTTTTACATTGAGGTAGCACAATTTTGATGATGCTTCACTGTTTCTCCTTGGTCAATTACATAAAAAACAGCTTCAAAACACTTTGATTCGCAACATTTACCGAAATATAATAAAGAAACCACCCTATCGTCAGCACGCTACGTCAACTGCCACGACGCAAAATGGCGACGCTGTTTTGCCTCTGATGCGCCAGATATGTAACCTTAAATAATTGGATACGACTACTAAATACAATATGCCGATAATAGACTATTTTCCTCCTAGGGGACACTGGGAAATCGGGGTTTTCGGGTGAAGGTGATTGAGAAACGTGTTTGCTAGCGACGCGAACCAATGATGTGGCCTTGGCCACAAATAGGGGATATCTTAGGTAAGGGTAAATGGAAAAATGTTAGGTTAAAGAGTTCTGGAATTGTCTCCAGGCCGGCCGAAGGCCGGCCTGGAGCCTATTCCAGAACTCTTTAACCTAACATTTTTCCATTTACCCTTACCTAAGATATACTCCTTTTCGTCCCTAGCGCACAAACCCCTGGAAACGTGGTAGGTTAGGTTAGGTTAGGTTAGGTTAGGTTAGGTTAGGTTAGGTTAGGTTAGGTTAGGTTAGGTTAGGTTAGGTTAGGTTAGGTTAGGTAAGGTTAGGTTAGGTTAGGTTAGGTTAGGTTAGGTTAGGTTAGGTTAGGTTAGATTTGGTTTGAATCTAACCCCCCCCCCCCTCCCCAACCCAAAAACCCCGATTTCCCAGTGTCCCCTAGGATGAAAATAGTTCTTGTTTCAGGATATTGTATTTAGTAGTCGCATCCAATTCTTTTAAATTACATATCTGGCGCATCAGAGGCAAAACAATGTCGCCATTTTGCGTCTCTGCAGTGTGTGCGTAGCGCATCAAAGGTGGGGTGATTTCTTTATTATATTTCGGTAAGTGGTGCGAAGTTAAGTGTTTCGAAACTGTTTTTGATGTAATTGGCCATCGAGAAGGAGAAACGATCATCAAAATTGTGTTTCTTTAATGTAAAAAACTGAAGTTTTACCCTGAAAACAATAACCAATGCAATCAGGGAAAAATTGCAATAGCAATAAATACTGATACCGCTAGTCTAGTAGTCATCAAACGAGCTCTCCTCAATACTGATTGTGATGGTCTGAGTCTGATACATTGTAAAATTGAAATGCACAAGCATTATAAAACAAGCAAACTCCTTGGACAACCTTAAATTTTCATTTTGAAGATCGGCATTCAGAATACTTACAAATATTTAACTTTTACTAAGCGATAATGAAAACAAAAAATAACCGACTTACTTGTACTTGTTGGGTTAGGGCGCATAGCCTCGTTGGGCTCAAGCGTCCGTAATTGTTGTCATCAGTGCGCCATTCTTGTCTCGATCGAGTAGATGTTGCAATCGGTTGCAGCCAGATGGTTCAGAGGGAAACTAAGCAGATGAAGGAAAATGATAGGTTTAGCATGGGGATGTATGCGCGGGCTTCGGATGATGTCCAGGCAGGAAATGTCCGGTGAAGTATATTAGTAACGGTTAGTTTCTAACATATAACTGATTAAAAACTTAAAAATAGAAACAAAAAGGATGGTTTCTGGTTATGAGTCATTCAATCATAACGCTCTTGACCTCGCATCTGTCCAGCGAGCCATTCAGTTCAAAAGGATCTTCAGGCACGAGTCTCACTCAGTTATCAACTTGCGTTGGAGGGTTCATGTCTCATGATCATACCGATCATAACGAGCCTCAACTTCGGAACTATGCGACTACTTCTACACAGGGGCGTCGCCACGGATTTTTGAGTGGGGGGGTCGGGTTTCGTCTTCACCCGATGGGTAGGGGTGTTTTTTTTCCACACTTCCCAGTTTTTTGCGTGCGTATGTGTGTGTGTGTGTGTGTGTGCGTGTAACAAATCGGCGCGCAGCGCCGCGAAATTTTGTATAGCCTATTAGGTAGGTATACCTACCTACATCACTTTTGCGTAACAATTATCACTGGTCACTTAAGGTCAGGTCGCCATGTCAAGCTCAGTTATACGGTATACCTCTATAAAACTTTCCCCTCTCGCCAATCTTGTAGCTTTTCTCCCATAACTTCAAAATTTGGTACACTGTATACCTAATATATGGGGTTATACGTGTTAGCAATTCATGATTCTAACTGAGGATTCACATCTTGATCTGGAGGCAGGTCAAATACGTGACCTCATCATTAGAAAATAATGAGAAATTAGAAAAAGCACGAATGCCTCCTGCTTTGAAAAAGTTCGTCAGAAACGCAAAATATCTTTGGAGCCATGACAAATCAGCTCAGCATTGCCAGGGACAGGGTGCAACTTATGGCGAGTGATGACTCGAAAGGTCATTAGTGGAAATGTCCATCGATGGCCACCAGCATTTTTTTTTTCTACAACTTTTGACGAAGACGCGGTAGAGCGATGACAGCACCTGGAAGGTGTTCACTGTTCAGCTCAACATCACGGATCCATTCATATGCAGCAGGAGGTCCCTTTTCGACATAACGTTGACCTGAGGTTGTTTTAACGTTAATTCTGAATGGTCAAATTTTAACTCATGTGACGCGTCTCAAAGAGATAAACACGGTGGTGGCAAGACAACATATGTAAATACCATACAAATTCACGGAATCTAAAGTGTTTCACGGAATTCACGGAATCAAAGCAAATGTTTCGGCAGAATCTGTCCAGTTAGCTGTTTGCCTTCTATGGGCGAAACATAGACCTGAGATGAAATCTGACGCGAAGCTAGCGAAAGGGCGTTGAAAGAGCTATCGAATATGTTTTCTGCTTCACTGTAGCCCTTCTATTGGTGGTTTCCCAGTAGCTAACGTATAACGTATACTAAAGTAACGCTGAGGTATGCTTTCGACCCCTGATCGATCTAGAGGTTTGTGGAAAAAAGAGCATGCTGCCCGTGACGAGAGAAAGCCGATGATACCCATTCAAGGTTTCGGGTCATCTCAGGACTCATGTCATCGCCAATAAGTAGGGAAACTCGGGACCTGCTAGAACTTAACGAATGTAAGTTGTGATGGTTTTTCGAGGTTCTGATTACGAATGTTATCTTAGTTTTGAACGAAGATGATGACTCCATGCATTTGGGGTAGATCAGGTCTGGTCAGATCGACCAGTACCTAATAGTGGATGACCACCACCGATTGCTTCCTAACATGTTATATGTATAAGCAACAAAACTACTTCTTAAATGTTCAGATGGGCGCTAAGTTCAAAATCAGCTCCAAAAACTACCATATAAATTAAAAGCATGTTATGAAAAAGTGAACCATGGTCATCTTCATTTGAATCAGGGATATCGATTTATTTTTAACTAGGTGATTAACTCGAGCGCACCGGAAGTTTCGTTGCAATCGGGTCCTTTTTGCGCGACTTCTTTGCGAAAGCCCGAGACGGTTCCATCTGACTCCCTTTCCCCTACATGTGCACTGTACAGCTAGGTGTGACGGTAGCCACATGCGGCTGAGGCTAGTTTGTAGTTTTGTAGTTAGGTACTGATCCGACGAATCGACTGCGACCATTTTTTTTTTTAAACGATCAGACGAACGCTCGGGGCAGTTTTGGCGCGTCCAATCCCTTGAGGGATAAAAAGGTACTAGAATAGTGGCTACTTAAAAATATTGTTGTGCTGGTGTTCCCGCCCACAGCTAATTGACCTTTACCTAATTGGCTAATTGGCTTTAGGGAGCTCTTGAAGCGATTCTGAATCTGATGTATTTGTTGGTGTTGCTGACGCCTGCTTCACTGACATAAAAGCTAAAAAAAGCATACCTACTCAGCATCGCAAAAATTGGGGGGGTCGACACCCCCAGTTTTCAAGAGTGGGGGGGTCACGACCCCCCCGACCCCCCCGTCGGCGACGCCCCTGCTTCTACAAAAGATCGGGGCCGAAAAAAAATAACCGAAGCAACAACAATGGCGCAACAAAACGGTGCTAAGGCGTCATATTTGTAAAAGTTTAAGGTTACCTTTTTACGTGCGCCAATTAGGCAGCGTATGATCTTCGACAAATAACCAACATAAAATATACGCACCAAGGCTATGTAAAGTGTAAACCACGCATAGCGATAGCTGCATACGGAGTTTTATAGCCTTGTGCAATATCTATGCTTGTGCATACCTACAAGGATAGTAAAGCTGCATCGTATTCAGCATTCACCTCCCCATGCCTACACATCCTGATTCGTTCGAATAACGATGACATGTCATCATCAACATCCAGATCGTTCCGACGGTAGCTTTGCTGTCGGCCAAGGCCATTAGATTCAATTCATATTCGTCCCGAATATCGATTTCACGTTCACTATCGATATTCGTAGTTAACGATAACCCAGCCAACAAATCTGGTCGGGGCCGTAGCTGGTTTTACTCTGGCTAGCTCCGGCATTTACTCCGGCCAAAGTATGTAACTTGTACTAGGTCTGGGGCTCTACTGGATTGACACACGACCCCAGAGCTCGCCCACACCACATCCGGAGTCCGGACCTAGCCGTATCAGCCGTGCCGCACCTCAAGTCTCAACCGTACTTCAGCCGCAGTATGCCAGAGCATCTACGAGGCACTAGGCAGCCGGACCTGGCCGTGGGGAGCCTGACTTGAGCCAGACTTGGTGGTCCGAACACACCAATTCGGGAGCGCTACGGCAAAGGCTGGCTAACCGGAATAGAGCCGTATCGACTCAAACCCCGGCTCTGACGGCGTTCCGTTTCCGGCCCAATTCTAGCACGTCGGAATTGCCGGGGCAAAACGGACTTGAGCCGAACCAAATTGCTGGCTGGGAAGGCTTCCACAATGTTAAGCATACCAAATGTTCCCCACAGTGAGAAACATTTTCAAGCTTTAACCCGCGAGTTGCTGGGGGGGGCGTTAAACGCCCCCACTTTTTTCGCCGGGCCATAGCATAAAAATGGCGCGCCGCAGGCGCGCCAAATTCTCTGTACCTGTAGGGAATTGATTGAAGTGTATTGTGACAAAGTTTCAAAAAAATCGGTCGGAAATTTTTGAGATATCGAGGATTTAGTGACGTCATGATTTCTGAGTTTTCGACCAAAAACGGCATATGTTCAAAAAAGCATATAAAATCACAGAATAGACATACAGACATGCCGTAAACGCCATTGGACTGCCAACACCATAAACAATCAAATGGCTATCTTCGATTATTGATTATCGTTCCGCATTTTGCAAAATCTTGAACTGAATCTTGGCAATTTATCGTGACTACTTCACGACCATGATACATGCATTTCTTAAATTGAACTTTTTGAGCCAAACACGTACACATATGACAAAATGGATGCCACCATCGTGTTCTACGCCCCAGATTACCCATAAAACATGTGTCACAGGCTGCGAATATCAGTTTTGATTTTCGGGGATATGTGCCTACCCGGTGCCTACTGTGACCTGACCTTGACCCTGACCTATGCTTAACTGACCCCTACATGGAGCTGACACTCTTGTAGGCCTTATATGATGGATTGTGCACCGTTTTGACAGAGTTTTTAATTCAGGCCTCCCTCCAACGGGCACTTGTGGCCCATTTACAGGAGGGCTCCTCCTCCTCCAGGCCCTTCTTCCCCCACCCCCCCAGGCTACGGCTGAAGTGGGAGCCTACCCCACACCTGGTGACACAGCCGGGGACGACGCCCGCGGAACGGGCGGAACCGGGAATCGAACCCGAATCCGGCACCGCCCGCACCGCGGGTCGACGCCCTAACCGACTGCGCCACCAGGGCAGTTTATGACGAGAGCCGCCCATTGCGAAGTCCTGAAGTCCATGCTACTGAAAGCCCGATTTCAGGTGTTTGACCTGACCTTGACCCGACCTGTGACCTCAAAATTCAACTTTAAAGTACTCATCTGAAGCGTCTCGTCGCGTTCTTTCGTTTGACGCCTCGTGCGTTTCGCTGCGCCTATTGATTCTCGAGTTATCGGCTGGGGGCGTTTAGCGCCCCCCCCCCCCAGCAAACGGTGGGTGGCGAAATACCCCAGCAACTGCCGGGCTAATTCTGACTTCAGATTTCATCTTGATTTCGAAATTTATCATGAAGAGACTGGGTACTGCATAAGTGGCTTTAACTTCGCCTAAAAAAAAAATAATATAATAAGGCCGCATATACCCGCATATACCCGCATATACCCGCATATACGTATACCTACGTACCCCTATCCGTGACCTTCGACTTGGAGGCCAAGCTCAAGCTAGCAGTCACAGGTCAGGGTCAGATGAACCTGACGAAAAATACATAGACCTAGACGTGCCACTTGGAAAGTTCAACTTCTAAGCTCGACGCTTGCAGCCCAACTCGACCAACGTAAGACTCGATGGTGGCTCGTGCTTTTTTTTTAGCTTCCCGGGCCAATGGAAGCCGTAGGTAGGTAAGGGTAACCACACTGAACCGTAAATAGGTAAGAGCTCTCGATAGCTAATAAAATGATCATTTAACAAAAGATATCAGCCCGACATTAGAGGCTCTACCTACTGCTCCACTTTTCAATTTCAATTATGCAAAATTCCTATCGGTATTTTATCTCGATTACCGTAAACCGGGGTGAGTTGATATGGGGTGGTGAGTTGATATAAATTGCTCGAAAAATGTTAAAATGTGTGCTGCTTATCCATGTGTAAACCAATTTTCAGTTTTATTTTTCTGTGAAGTGAAGCAACCAATAAGTGATGCATATAGCTGAGAAAGGCATGCATGTGGTGCAGTGCCTTCTTAACACATTACTT